ATTTATACAATTACATTTTGTGTGTTTTATGCTCAAAAATACATTGACAATAATGCATTCTCACTGTGAGCGGGGTTGCCTCTCCACAGATCTAACCTGTAATTTTGTCTAGTATTGTCATCTGCTTGTCTTCATGGATACAGACATGTTTAATGCCATACTGTGGAACATTCAAGCAAAAGCAATAACACTGGCATAGAAACAAGTAAGACTGTGCAATTAATTAAATTTTGATCACAATTTTGATTTGAGTTTCAAACGATCTCCAAACTCATATAACTGAGTTGGAACGATTTAGGGCGCACACACACTAGGACTTTAGAACCATGCCCCTAAAGCGCCGTACGAACCGTGTCCAGGCACAGCACGGTTGGGATTTGGCCCGGTTGGAGGTGGGCCAAAGCACGTCACAGTTGCTCATGCACGCGCACACAAGACTTCACTATACGAGCCCTGTCAGGTGCACTGATCCTGTCCTCGTCTCCATCTGTCCTCACTCCTCCGTGCTGTTGTTATATCCATAAACTCACAGAAGAGTGCCTCTCGCCGCAGGACTCATATCTGCCTCACTGTTTAATAGATATTTCTGCCGCTGGACTTATTTTCTCTGCCAAAGCTTTAGCTCTGCTGCGCCAAACAGCGCTGTGTGATGATGTCATCGACCATGGCCCAGTTCGGTTGTGCAGGTGTGAGTGCGAGAAACGTATTTATAACCTATGGCCCTGTCTGCACTAGTGCGTGTTAGAGTCGTTTTCGTTGTGGATGCAGTGTTCGTCCACCCTAACCTAACTGAAAATGGCTCCAGAGATGGAATGATTTGGTGTCGCCAGCTCCCATGAATTCATCTGAGTACAGATCTGATCTGGCACCGTGTGGACGCCTGAAAACGCTGATCCACTGATGTAGGTCTATGCGCCATGAAGTAATTCACTGCCTAAACGCTAAGAGGCTAGAATATTTGTCCATTCATATATACGGTCTCTGAATCTCTGAAAAGTTTAACATGAACGATCTCCAACGTGACAGAAGCACAGAACAGACTCACCATCAGCAGAACACCCCTCTGTCACAGAAAGAACACATATAATCCACTGAGTCGTGTCCTTTAGTCCGAGAGAAGCTGAATCACATCAGCGACACAATAGCGAGCTGTTTTGTGTAAATTATCAACAACAGTGTTTTTGTGAGAGATGCTAAATAAATAGTTTGGGGGGAAAAAAATCATTATCACGATTACTTTGGTCAGTATTGAAATCACAATTATTCATACTCGAGCAACCATTTGCAGCCAACAAGCAGATGGCTGTCTCTCTACCAGAAAAGGTACACAGTGCACCTTTAAATTGTAGTACTTTCTTTTATATTTCCATGTGGTCTTATATCTGTGTAATCCCTCAGCATTCCAGGTAGATTCCATACTGGTCCATGTGTGTATACAAGTCTCTGAGCTCTTATACTTGTTCTGATACAGCTCAAGATCATTCTAAAGCTTCAGGAAAGGTTAATTTCTGTCCTGAGAATGTGACTTTTTTAGTATTGATACCTGCTCAAAAGAGTATGAAGTTTTAGTATCAATTAGTGTATGATTTTCGATCCTTTTGTCAACACATTGCCATGTTTTTGATCTGATCTATATGTCATCAAACCTTGTGAATACCATAATATAGAATAGATAACACATTTGAGAGAAGAATGACATTTTGGTAAACTAATTCTGCAAGAAAGGAAATAAGAAAATGCTAAATAAACATCTGTGTTGTGGTTGGTCAGTTAGTCACAGGGTTGTCAGCTGAATAGGCCGACATATCAACAAACGCTAACCACTCTGCTACTAACCGCAATAGAGGTGTTGTAATTCAAAGTCATATTACTCTTTAAAGAACTGAAAGAAGATTAAGGCATTTTGAAATGTTTTACTTCCTCTTTTTGTCTTCCCTAAGATGTTTTTTTCCTCTGTATTTTTAGCGTCTGCCTTGACTTCTTTAAACGTGTAGAAGTGGAAATCTTGACTTGTATTTTGTAACATTAGCACAAATTCTGTGAAGTAAAATAAGCCTAAATGGCGACAGAGGCTCCAATGGAATAATCAAGTGGCTGATGGTTCCGCTCCCGCTCCATTGTTGTTGTGTCTTTGAGCACTTCACTCGCGTTGTCTGTGTGTAAATGTGGTGTCAGTGGTGAGGGTCTTTGGCAAAGATTGGCTTCTCACGATATTGGTGCGTTCACAAGATCAAGAATCCATTTTATCCTTCCTCTCGCTTGTGTGATGTGGCCCGGACGCTGGTGGGCGACCAATCACGTCACGTCATTGAGGTTTGTGCAGAAGCCAAAGGCGAATTGCCCAAAATTAACCAAACCAAACATGGTGCTCATAGACGTACTTCAGACTAGGGATGGGCATTTGATTACATTTTCTTAATCAAACGTCGGGAGAATTAATGATCAATTTCCAATTAATCATTAACGTTTTTATATTAAAAGTATCATCGTTATTACTATTACTAATCTGCATAAATAAACTCAACTTGACAACATATAAACCTAGAGCCACATCAGCCCGTTTGACATTTTAATGTGTTTAATGCAGCTTTGACACATTTGTTTACTTTTACAGAAACAAAACTTAAAACCACATGGCTCATTTGCATAAACTGTATGCGCTGAAAAATAAACAGCCCTTTTCTTGTGCACTGATGTGGTTCAGCTTCTGTCAAACTAAAGGTTACGACTCAGTGGAATATAAGTGTTCTTTCTGTGACACAAGGATGTTGATGATGATGATGATGGTGAGTCTGTTCTGTGTGTGTGTCGTGTTGGAGATGGTTCATGTTTTCAGAGACCAGACGTGTGCAGGTTTAGTGCAGCTCTTTATTTAACACTCATTTCACTTTAATTATGTTGGTCACTTTATTTTGGCTATTGTTGTGATGAAAAGACTGTAAAGTGTTTGTCTTTTGGACACATGTGCGCTCAACTTTATATTGCAGTAACCGGGATGCTGCGTTTACATGCACCATGATAAAACCGGGATACTCTAAAAAGCCGATCATACCCGGGACACTGATGTGCTGTGATCTCCAAGGAGCCAGAGCCCAAACGTGGGACTGTGAGGCCCCAACTTCAGTGTTTGCTCTGTCAGACGCAGCCTCGTCTCCTTTCACTACGCACAGCAACCTACATTTGGTTTGTAGATTTAAAAATGAACATGATCGACGACATGATTAGTCGACGAATCCTGCCCATCCCTACTTCAGACTATTTTAACCTCTTCATAATTTTGGCCTCACCAGTTTTTATTTATTCAATATTTTTCCTGGCATATGTATGTGTTTTGGAACTATATGGCTCTCAAAAGTGTAACTCACCAGCATTAACCGTTTTTTGGTCAAAGCAAACATGAAGAAAGATCTGACCAGATTGTTTTCCACATGTCTTAATATAATAATAATGCATTAGTCTTGTATAGTTTTTCCAGGCACTCAAAAAAAAAAAGACTTTAGAATTTGTGCGTTATTCAATCACTCCATACTCAGCGATGACATTCAGAGATCTCGTCCCATCCTTAAGAAAGACCCGGTGTGAAACCTGTACACTCTGCATATATAATTGAAACAAACAGTCCGTGCGTTGCAGACAAATGCTCACCGTCGCCTCCTCCCCGGTCACCCATCCATCTCCGGGCTGAATTTATGGAGCTGGTATCACCGCGAAGCCCTTCACAACGTAACATAATCTTGAATCAGCAGTCTGTCCGCGCGGCGCCGAAAATCGATGGTGTCACAGTCTAACCCGCACCCTCATCCATCACGCGGGGAGGGGGACGATCATGCTGAACGGACACTTCCTGTTACCTGTACAAGATAAAGTACAGGGAGGATTTCGCTGGAGAATTAGGAGTACTGTGATTTCCCCGAGGAGATGTGAAGAGGGTAGATTAAAACAGGCTATCTGCATCCGTGTTGGCGTCCGCGTGTGGTTAATAGGAAGGACGGCGCTCATTGACTTGCATTGAACTTTGTAATGAAACGTCGAGTCAGCGTTATTGTGGATTGGCACACGGGACTCGAAAAAGGCCTAGATATTGGATTTTTTGATGGACACAAGTTTGGCTTTGGTATTTTACCGAAACACTTCAATATAAGATCATTATATTTGAGATTTTGATTTTTGTATTCCCGTTTTGGACACTTTTTAGGTTTAAAATCTTACTTTCTGGTACTTCCTGGTTAGAAATTATAATTATGTTACCTAGAAACCATCCAAAATCTCTAATACACACAGAAATTAGTATTTGATGATTTGGATGTAACAATAACCGAAATATTGTGATATCATATCATCATCACAACATATCGAATTACAAGAGTTATGGTGCAGCAATAACTTTAAAAAGACAGAGGGAACTGCATAGACCATGATCCTTTGCTCCATTTCAGTGTAGACTACATGAAGAAATAACAGTTCTAAGCACTTTTAAGTTTTAGTTCTTTGGATTAAGTCTTGTCAAGGCATTTTAAGAGGAAAAAGTAGTAACAGTTTAGTTAGTTTGCACATAATATTGCAATAAATATTGTACTGTGAGTTGTATATTGTGAAAATATTGTACAGAGAGATTTGGATATTGTTACATCCCTAATCGTGAGACTCCCCACCATATCGTGAGCTTTCCCACGATATCGCAATAAATATCATACCATGAGGTTCATACTGTGACAATATCATATCGTGAGACTTGGATATTGTTACACCCCTAGTATTTGACAAATAAAAATACAAGAAAGTGCCTTTATTTTGTTGAATTGATGTTTAAAGTCTTTACTTACTATTATTTTCAACAATTTTGGATTTTTAAGGAACCACAATTTACAGATTAGTTTTCAGATTTGTTAGAGTTCATGATATTGGTGAAAACATTTCTCATAACCCTTAAAAAAAAGATTTATAATATAACCATGCATTAGTCTAGTCTGTTTAATCTGTGCTTTTTTGAATATTCACAGGGTGACTGAACTGTGAGGTGGGTGAACTGTCTTGCCCAAGGACACAGCAACAGGAAGTAGAGAGAAAGCCACAGAAACCCATGGGAGGGATTTGAACCCACGACCTCATTTCTGAAAGA